ATATTTATATTCGCTCTTTCCCTACGTTTCCTTTCCTTGCATACCAGTATTTTTATTTAATTTTATTTATTTTCATACTACACTGTTTTACTATTAATTTGTTAATACAGCAACGCTTCGTGTTATGGTTTTAAAATTAGCGTAGCTGAATAAGGAGTGTTTATCATCTTTCTCTAATTTTAATGTGAATTTGATAGAAGGGTGAAATAAGCAACATATGTTTAAGCCTTATTCAGTCAGTCAAGATAAGACTACATGGTCCATCCTATTACTTGTTTATAGAACTTGTCTCTAATTTGAACAAAACCTGAACCCACGTAAAATTGTAAAAGTTCGTCAAATTATTTAAAAGTGAGTGATATAGTGGAAGGCTTAGTGTCCAAAATGTCTTCAGAACTTTGTCAATTCTGGTATACAAAACAGTTCCAGATTATTTTTGTGCTGTTTTCGCCGGAGGAAGTACCATGGGGTCAGACGTTCCAAGATAAGTTTCCTAGAGATTTTCCGATCTAATTTATCGATTCTCCGAAATGTCGGTGTTAGTTTCAGCTCTGATTATTTTGTTTAAACACTATTTTGTGTCCCCTAAGGCCCAACTCTGTACAAATCTGAAACAGTTGGCAGGACATATTGAGGGAGAATAATTAGACGAGGAATTGCTATGAGGATAATACAAGGACAAGGTAGGAAACGAAATAAGACTATATAAGAGGTTAGATAGAGAAAAACTTGAGGTTAGGACATAGGACGGAAATGGTGTCAACACTAGTCAATATAACCCTTTCAACATTGTTGGGATAGACTCCATATCTTCTATTTTACCCATTCAGAGATTGAGCTTTTAAGAATGTCGATACAGGTTTTTAATTAATTATATCAAAGAGCATTAAGTCCAAGTTTCAAGTAAATCTGACCACAAACAAGAGTCTTCCATACAAACTATGTCATCTCTCTTCCTTCCCTCAGGGGCTGAATTTCGAAAAATCCTTCCTCATTCTTTATCAAGAAGACCTCTGTGTAAAATTTCACTTATCCATTAAAGAAAACCTAATAAATTTACTTTTTCATATCATGAATATTCAGCAGTTCCTGTTTTCTTTTTAGACACCATAAAAAAATTGCCGTCACGTTCCCTTTTCTTCCATTAGCAAAGCGATTACTTTTCCATAGGCGGTGCGATAATGTCCTGATCAAAAATTTAAAGCTCGTAGGCATGCCGTTCATCCAGAAAACGAACTGGGTTCATAAAAGCGAAACGAATAGCAAGAAAACATCACAAGGGAAAGAGCGAGCGAGATGGTGTTAATAAGCCACTGTTCCGTTGTCGAATGCATACCTGTGTGGAGGTTGCTTCGTGTATACATACGTAGACATGTGTTTGTGAGCGATTTTACATTTGGTAGTTTATGTTGGCTTGCTAACAGAAAAGAGAAGCTCAAACAAGCACGAAAGACAAGGGGTAGGTACCAACATATATTACACATACATTCCTGCAACACGTCATATAACACAGGAGACCCCGTGATGAGGTGTACTAGCGGGAGAGCATTGTGAACTTGTCACCAGCGTCTGCTGATCGGTTCGCGTCTGGAGGAAATCAGGCGAATTTGAACAGGAATTTGTCCCCGTTTAATATCGATTTAATTGATTTCCATAAATTGGCCGCTTATCTATAACCTAGCCATTGTTACTCCGATACGGTGAATCCAAGGAAGAGTGCTTTACGTGTGCGGTTTTTATTTAGGATAAAAAATACAACTAACATAAATATTTTTATCAATGTATTTCTCGACATGAAAACAAATTTATTATTTTATTTGTTTAATTTACAATATTCTCATGAGCGTTTTATTTATGTTGTGAATTTATCAAAAACTATTAAACGAAAGCTATTCACAACACAGTTTAGGTAATGCTACAGAATGCAGACTGAAATCGAATAATTATACTTCCTGATTTTTCCTTGATTTCCTTAATCATCATCATAAGGTCGTCAGTCCTAAGACTGGTTGGTTTTTCCTATCCTGAGCTAAACTTTGCATTTCCCTAAAACTAGAACATCCCACATCCTTAACTATTTGTGAACAGTAATCTAATTCAGGTCTATCTCTACTCCTCTTAACACCTATTTCTGCCTCTAATATTTTTTTGAATAGATCTTCATACCTGAGAAGGTGTCCCTATCAACCTATCTCGCCTATTTTTGATTGACTTCCATACAGTATTCTGTTCTCCTTTTATTTCTAATACCTCTTCATTTCTAACTTTCTCTATCTCATCATTCGCCTGTAAGACCACATTTGGAACGCTTCTAACCGTCCATATTTCGCACCTGCTGCGCTCCAAACATACACCTTTGACAATGTTTTTCGAATTTCTAAAGTAACCGTTCGCGAACATAGAAGTGAATTCTTTTTATTGAAGGCGACTCGACCCTGCGGTAATCTTTACTTTATATCTGACTAATTTTTCGTCTCCTATCTTCTAATAGTCGTTCTTTCCCTACTTTTTCTACTCTGACTTCCTTGTAAAAAATTAAATCTCCATGGTTTGAAAGAAGTAATTTTTGATTTTTACTTGAAACAGAAAATAGGCAACAATGATTATCCTAAATTTTATTAAATCACAAAGATTACTTTCTAATTTTTCCAGAATTAGTAGTTCAGTTTACATTTCGATCATTGGCCCGACAACAATTTTGGGTTGGACATAACTGGTTTAGATTTTAGGGGTGGCTAATCCTCGGCCCGCGAAATTCATAATAGTTTTATAAAATAGAGTTATTTTATAATGGCCACTGATTTTAGGTATCGTATTTCCAAATAGATCATTTGCGGTGGTCATCACCATGTTTGTACTAAACATATTGTTGTTAGTTGCCATTGGAATTACGTAATATATTATTCTTTCGCAAAATTAACATGAAGAAAGATAATAGTCGTCTTTTCTAAAAAGAAAATGATCACCACCCTGCAATATTTAAAAAATAATCACGTTTGCGTAATAATTCACACTACTTTTATTAGCAGCACACTCCTCAGTCAGAAGGGCACTCATGTGAATGGGCCGCGCGTCACAGTCTGAGTGCACCGATTTTCACAAATCACCCCGTATATTTTCCGTCACCAACTAAATAATAATACCGTTCGAATAGATGCCGACTGCACGACATACATACATGTCTACATACTCAGATGTACGTATGTTGTGGGTACGAAAGCACATACGTACATTACACATGCAAGCAAGTACATGTGTGTGTTCAGCTTGAAAACTAAAAGTGGTCCGTATTCACAGCTCGGTAATTTTGTGGTGTGATGCCTTCGTGTTTTCGATTCATTCTGCTGCTACCCCAGTAGTAGGAACAGCGACAATTGTAAACTGTCCTGAATGCGTAAATTAGACGCCAAAAAATGAACCTCCTGAGCTTTTTTTTTAACGTATTGTGTTCTTATTAAACCGAAGAAGAATATACATACTTACAAACACTTGTTTTTCTAAAAACTACTTCAATACCTATCTAAGGATAATAATCATCCTCAAGCAAATGTGAATTGAAAACAAAAATAATTGTATTGTTTAAGAGCTGATAATCATAAACTTCATGAGTCTGTAAAGGGCTGGAGAGATCTGGTAAAAGGTTCTGTACCATATGCGTGGGACGGGGGTTGAAACCGCAGCAACGTGGTTTTTTATTATTAAAAAAAGTATTCGGTGACTTAGCGTGACTATTTTTGAAAAAATAAAAAAAAATGTGTGTCGCACTGTTATTGGTGCGTAAAGCCCAAAGCGCAATTTTTGAATAGGATTTCATAATAAATTTGGGTTTAACTTTTTCCAGAAAATGTATTATCTTCAAGTGATTCTTTTTCTAGTGAACAATTATGGTTAATCGATTATATTCTGATTAATTTAAATAATCGATTATTTCGATTAATCGATTGTTTCCCTTAACCTAAACTGTATTATTTCGATTAATCGTTTATTACAATTAATAAAATTTCTCATTTACTTAATAGGTATAATTCTATTGTTTCAAAGGAACTTATTACAATATCAAGGAATTAAAAAGATCATCCCTATAAAAAACGATAAAATACGCCTAGATATATAGGTACTAAAAAAGTTTCCTGGTACAGATTAATTTTTAGTAAAATGCTAATTTGAGTTAAGAAATTATTCTTCAATTACGTTCACATGCTAATCATATACCCATGTCAAGAAGGATAATTTGCAGACAGATTAACAAGTTGCTTGCATAGTCTGTGCGAACCAATCCAAAAAGTAATAGCAGCTACAGAAATTGGCATCAAAATGGAAAAAATATTTTGGAAGAAATTTCACCTTTGCAGTCCTTGGTTCAAATTTTCTCTTGACGATCCTGATACGGTAAACGTTAAGTCATAACTTGTATTCTTATACTTACTGTATGACATGAGTTTAAGCTATCATTTAGTTTTGCACGTTTTTATACATAAGTTTGCTAATCCGTTGAGATTACAAGGGACGACGTGAACTTAAATAAACCATAGACGAGAGGAAGAACGAGTGTGACGCCACCTTCCTACAATGTACACCTCTTCTGTTTCTGCATAAAGAAGCTGTGATCAAACCGTTCCCGGTTCCTTCTTTACTTCAAGGTTGCATTTGATGTTCGGCTTTTCCCGCGATTCTTTCACGAAAGAAAGAAAAAATAACGTAGCGCTTTGATAAGGCCCGTGTCGTCGTGTTTGGGTTTTAAAAGGGAATCCTTTTGAAAGGAGGACAACGGTTTTTGTGAAATCATTAAAGGCAACAACCTTATCTGTTGTATTGCTTATCCTTCGCCTTCCGAGACTCCTGCCTTGCCAAGGATCGAGAACAATGAGATTAATGAAGGAACGAACCTTTTAAGATGAAAAACTGCCAAGAAGATCCAACTCTACTAGTTTCAAATGAATATTAAATGCTTCAAAAAGGATATTTCTAATTTTAAAACAAAGGCGTGGTTCGTTAAGGGCTTGAATGGTATTCATCTTTTTGGTATGGCTTTACGTTATTAAAAACCAATCATATTAATAGTAGGTACCCAATAATTACGTATTTTGATTAAATTTAATTATTCAATGCATAATAATTTCAGCTTTGAGAATAAACAATATTCTTCCTTGGTTTTAGTAAATCCTGAAAATCGAAATCAGTGGTCAGTGGAGGATTTTTTATTTGCTGAATCGTCTATAAGAATAATCGTTTTATCATGTCATGGTTTTTATTCAATCATTTTAGAAAAATAGAAGGAGTTTTATCAGAACATACTCGCAAACCACTGGTATTTAAAGTTTGCACTATTATCACATTCGTAGGTAAAAGTTACTCATTGTGTTTATGTGACACATGGGACTTACATTTTTAAAATTACAATAGTCACAACAAAAATATTTTTGACTCTCATTAGCACACCACAACCAGTAACTTACACTGCTTTCTCATTTATTTTATCATGCTATTGACTTATACTGTTAATATTGGAAATATAGATCTCTTCTAAAGGTAACAGTTTATGTTGATTTAATAATTATGCACTGCAATGTCAGGAGAACTCTTTAACAAGTTGGAATATATGAATTATTCCATTAGAAGATGATTTAGTTTTTCACGACTATCGTCTGAAGAAACTGGATTTCTGGATCCTAGCCGTCTTATTGAAGCAATCCTCATGACGAATCATGGTGACGTCAAAAGTATTCGACGTTTCGTCTCCTACCACAAAGGACATCTTCAGGCCCTTCACGTTGACGGTACGATAAGACACTTTTGAGGTCACCATGATTCTTCAAGGGGATTGCATCAATATGACATACCTAGAACCCAGAAATCCAATTTCTTCAACATTTCCATTACTTTGTTAAAAGTTGTTGTGTATTATCCAATTTACCAACTAATAAATTATGTTAACGATTATTGAACAGTTTCAATTTTTGCAGCGCTTTCAAAAGCCAATCAGTTTCCTACATCAACAATTCTTCAGGTTCAGGTAATTGAGATTGTCGGTAACTTCGCATTTCACATAATAATTTATACACCAACCACTTGCATTTCTTTCGCTTTGTTAACACGTTTTAAAAATAAAAGTAAACGGGCATCTACGACTGTTAATATTTCCGAAGTGTCAGTTTGTCAATTAAATGTCTTATTAAATATTAGTGCCGTCTTTAAACGTTTTAACTTTGTCATTGCGGGCCGCGTCGCGCTCTCACAAAAACGGTCAATTTCTGCATACTTACTGCATGTAATTATATAAGTATATGTATACACACAAACACATAGAAGCACGGTAGCTTAATTAAACGAAAAAAAAAAAATCAAACGCTGTCTTCGAAACAAAGAATTGCGCGAAACGCCTTCGCATCCAGCTCGTTTTCCGTTATAAAGCAATTAGTTAAACTGTGCTGTCCTCGCTTTTAAATAATAAAGAACTGAAAAGACGAGATGAGGCAACAAAAGTAAGCACAGCAAACGTGTGAAATGCTTAAGCCACGGAGCACATGTCTCGTGGTGGACCGGCGGGGACAAGGGAAAGGACCACTTCCTGCACTCAATGCCACCATTTAATTCCATCGGACAACTATAATAATAAGAACGTTGAATAATGCGCCAAATACCTGCACCTTCGCGGCTCTACAGGGTGGCCACAAAACCTGCCCGGTCATAGCTGGTAATTGTCTGACGCTTGCTGTCCACTTGGTATAAATGACACGTAGACACTTGAAATCCTAAGAGAATAATTACACCTGTTGGTATGAAAACGAACGAACGTGTGATTAAGAGTATCTGCCTGAAGATCTACCGATTTCTTCTTATTATTATATATTTATTATTATCGTAACACAATTCTGGTTCTTTTTTCTTCTCATTCTGGTCCGTAGGTAGGTAAGTGTCTTGTTTGCATCATGCGCGGTGGCGTTTGGATGCTTTCTATGCAGAGCGAAAAAAAAATGTTGTTGTCTTCACGACTGATCGGTAGGCACTCGTTAATTGGAGAGCAATACACGCCTTCCTCATTTCAAAATATTTCGCTGCGTAAACTTAATTGGTCGTTAACAATGTCACTTAGCTCTTTATGCAATGACAACATTTAAATCTAATAAAAATAAGGTTTCGTGCATAATTGGCCAAATTAATATAACGAATTAAGCCAACTTGTCAAGCATTTTAATGAAAACAGCATGAGCAATATCAACTCATCCTAACTAATATTACAAACGCGAATGTGAGATTTTGAGAGTTTGTTTTCTACCATTTCGCGTCATAGTTACTCAACCAGTCATTGGTAGGGGTTCAGAAAAGGACATAGGGTACCTTTTATCTAAAAAAATACTGTTATCGAGGGATATAAAAATGAATTATATTAGTTATATATGATCTTTCATGATCTTTGACACGTATTTAGGACATCATCGCGAATGAAACCGCGGTAAAATTTTCGGATATAATTACTGAGAGGATGATGGGTATTAATATTTATGAGTTGGGGTCAATGTTGGGATTGTGGACAGTCAGGAAAATGTATTTGTATGACGTTTTGTCAGCTTTATTAAGATTTTGCCAGTCGTCATCACAAGATGACCAAATACTAGTGAAATAGGCACCTCTACTTTCTAACCATTTACGAACACTAATTTAAACTAAGGTTTCTTCTGCCTCTATTTGCTCCTTTTTTTGCTTCTAAAATATCTCTAACTAATATCAGAAGGTATCCTACCTCCTTTTCCTTATTGACTTTCACAGCGCCCACTGTTCTCCTACTTTTGGAACTAACCAGCAACAATCAGCGTTGCCAGATATGAGTGTCATATGGCGAAAAAAGGATGTTCAAATAAAAGAACTTCATTTGGCGCAAATGAGAAGACCCTTATTTCTTTAGTTATTCACGAGTATTTAAAGAAATTTTCAATGTGCATGTAACGTTTGAACAACAAGAGTATGTTATAAATGAAATAAAAATCCCCTTTTCCTTAAGTTGGCTCTATATTTTCTAAATTTCTCTAGCCACACGGACCAAAAATCGCACGTGTTACCTAGTAGACATCTCCCTCCTTGTTACTTGCTGCTTACAGAAAGAGCGAGAGAGCTGACGAGGTAGATTCGATTAGACTGCCATCTGGTAAATATATCCAATAGGGAGTCATTTTAAAAAGTATCGGAAGCTAACCTATTAGTACGAACCAACAGTCCAAAAATTGCCATTTCGAAATATTGGATGCAGATAATAGCTCTTACGGAATGAATATGCTAGATGGTTATCAGTTTGTTTACAAAATACGTTGACCTTTTCATTTCTACCTTTTTGTATCCAAAGCATTTTTTGTAGCACGCCACCTCAAACGCTTTTAGCTTTTTCTTTTTCCAAATCAACCGTTGATGATTTCTTTCTATTAAAAGCTATTCGACCCTGCGTTACTCTTTGCTTTATGACACTACAGCTTTTCCATTCTCTTTCTGGATACTGAAAATTGTCGATTTCTTCTATTTTTTCATATTCAATTTTACATTAGGTCTAACCCTACATATACCTTCCTTACTCCAATATTTTAGATTTATTGCTATATATCAATATATTCTCATTTCAACTGTTCTGTCAACATCGCTTCCATTTTATTTAAGGTTATCCTGAACTCCTCCTTGATAAATGCTAATACTGCTGCATGATCCGCAAATCGAAGCATGCTCATCTGTAGCCCCGAAAATAATCCTATCTTCAATTATATTATATATGCAGATTAAAAATTGGGGATAACTTATTTAACTTCTTTTTTATTATCCACTTCTCCATGTTGATAATTAACGATTAACGTTAAAGCAATATTTACGATTACAAACTGTGCACTAAGTTCACTATTTCCTTCAAATCGAATCCAAATTGTGTTAATTATTAATGTTATAGTTTAAAGAGGCTAAAAGTTACTCGTCCTGAAGTCCTGTAAGACATTCCATTTATAACTCGTTGTGTGAGCTGCCAATTGAATACAATTCTCTACGAGGGTGGATTGATAAGTTTCCGGCCTGACCAAGAAAAACAAGGTTTTTAAAAATTTTTTTTTTTTATTTCTCAACATAATCTCCTCCAAGGCTGATACATTTCTCATAGCGGTGTTCCAGTCTATTAATGCCATCTCTATAGACTGATTCGTCAAGCTCCTCAAAATAACCATTTACAGCTTCGATTACT